AAAAAAAAAAAAAAAAACTGTAAGGCCAAAAACTTACGCTTTGGCTTCTCATTTAGTGCCTTTCAATATTCCGTATAGCGAAAAGAAATCTTAAACTTACATGTTCATAAAGTTACTGTATTATACAAACGGATACGAACAGCAAATAATCTATTTGCAATTCAAGATTTAATTTACCAAATTTACTGCTAAAAAATTTGGAAAAGCTATAGTTATTGCAAGATAGTTCGCATTAGGTCCAGTAGCCACTAAAGCCACCATTCTAAACAGGGGTTTACTATTTAGCTGTCAACTTACTACTGGAAAAAAATTTTCTCCTTTAAGTTTATAGCTTGATAAGAGCAGCAGCCTATAAGTGTATTTTTTCCCAAAGTTATAAAAGTTCTGTCTAATTAACTTTAAAACTGCGCAGTTGATCAATACTTAGCAGTTAATACTGGCAGAGCTTCAGCTGTCTGACAGTACTAACCAAAAATTCCTCTGTAAATAATCTTTAAATCTTTACTCATCATGTAAAAAAGAGTACCATTTAGGTTAAACTAGAAAGTTCGTTACTTAGCGTAATGGGAGTGACAAGCATGCAAGAAATGTTGCTACAGCTGACCTCCTTAGAAGCCTTATCTACAGCGATGAGAAAAGCTGGTCTCGAATCTTCTAATCTGATGTTCGGTAGATAAACTTCATGTTTACACAGCTCCCTGAAATGACCATATAATCCGTGACTTTTTTCATAATCTCTCCGAATACAGTAATTTTTAAAGCAAAATTCAGGAATTGACTACACGGCAAGTAACAAATATCAGGGAGAAAGATGCTTTGGAGGACGCTCCTTGCACAGTATCGACCCAGTGATTCAAAATCCGTATCAACAGGTGTCAAACTCTTCTCACTGATGAAATAAACTTATTTTTTCCAGTAATGAGTTAGCCGAAACTTTGCATAATTTTGAGGTTATAACTATAATGGGTCAAACACTAGCTCCCTTCGCGAGCTCTGGATTTATCCCTGCATATGGCTTTGGAGATGCCAAAACGAGCGACTGGTCTGTATTTAAGTTGAAACCTGAAGGAGAATGTAAAAACTTTGAAGAACTTCTCCGGTTGGTTCACTTCTCTTTGTATTCAAAGCAATCAGTTTGTAACTAACATCAAATCTACCTAAAATTTCGTAAGCAGCATTTGAAAATACGTTAACCTTTTATTTGAAATAACTTCTCTTGAAAATTTTTTTAACAATGATCATTTCTAAAAATGTGTCTCTGAACACATGTATCACTGGTTCAGGTAGACCTTTTACAAACTAATTAGCAATGATACTAAATTAAATATCCCCTAAATAAAAGCCTGCAAACGCGGCTGGTTTATATTTAAAGTCTATTCCGTTGTCACTCGATTTTCATGATTTTAAGCTTTTAGGTGATTCAGAGTAAAGCGCATGAAAGCAATTTTATCAGTGATTCTAAATGTTACTTACAAAACCTTATAAACTCTTCAACGGACAAATGCGGCTGTTGAATGCTCGGCTAGATGATGAGTTTGTCGTACTGCAGCCTAAAATGCAGATACTGCGTGAAACTCCACACGCTCCTACAGAAACAGAAACCAGCGAAAAGAAAAAACACGTAACTTGGAAAATTGACCTGAAAATAGCCCATTCTTAGAGCTTTCGAATGAGTAGAGACAAATCTCTGAATGAATGTTTAGGATGGACGAAGTTTTTCAAGAACAAAAAACGGCAAAGCGCAAAAAGAGACACAAAACTTAAAAATGGGCCAACGATCCCTAATTAAGCTGTCACATTTTCGTGGCTCGTTCTCAGAGCTTTCTGGCGAGTATAGGCTGGTTTGGAAATAAACCCCCTTAAAGGACAAAAAACTTCTCTATACTTAAGGTTTCTAAGAAAAACACGAAATAGATCAAAAGAACAACACGTACCTCAGAAGAGCGATGAGTGATATCAGTAGGCTAATTTAGATCAATCGCTCGTTTTTAGAAGCACTCTAGTAACCATAAGCCTTTCCAGAATGGCATCTCGAATGCGTAAAAAACAGTTCCAGAATTAAATCGGTATCAAGCTTTTGGAAATGTTTCAGCGGGGATGCATTTTCATTTGGCGTGGTCTTCAGAGGTAGTTTGGAAAGATAAATGCCTACAGCCTATAACAGCTTTCCCACCTGTTTTCAACCACTCAAATTAAAACGCTTTCTTCATAATGAATGATGCTGATTTACAAATTTTTATTGCCAGCCAGATGCTACAGAAACTCGTCTATAAATTTTTCTTTGTTAGCTCGTCTAGCCGGGTACACTAACATCACGCAGTTGACTGCCATCTTTTCCACGATATATTTCCAAGTTCATCGGCCGAAGCCCGTTTGGTTCGACGGCGTTAAACGTAGCATCTTTTAAATGTCAATAAGTATAGACGGTAACAAAAATCTTATATCAGAATCAAGACTTAATGCTTACCGTCCAAATGAGTACCGGCATCAAAACAGATACAACACGTACAGTAATAAAACATTTCGATGAGGTTGTATTACTCATTAAAATAACCAAAACTAAACTGATATTAACAAAAGTTAAAATAAAGAAGTCCAAATAACAGTTTTCCTTACACCTGCATTACTGAAACTCACATAATCCCTTTACAGCAGCCAACTTCGCCATTATCCAGTTCTCAGCACACTATCAAAGAAAAAACTGTAAAATTCAGTTAAAATAATATTTCTGATTATAGAGTTTATAATGAAATAACTCCCACCATCAGTCTAAGCGGTCCAACAAATTTTGCTCCACTTATTTATCAAGCAATGGAAATCTGTGAACAAGTGCAAGATGTAAGAAATCACTATTTTTCAAATCTCTAAATAGAGTAGAAAAGACAAGTACTAGAATAAAACTGTATAGTGACCTTACATAAAGTCCTTCTAGTATCCTGTTTTTACTTAAAACTGCTAATTTCAGTACCATATACTAGTCATTGTGGCCGACGGGCAAGTAACGAACGAAAAAGCTACAAGAAAAGCAATTGTAAAGGCATGCAAGTTCCCTCTCTCAATAATCGTTGTCGGTGTCGGCGATGGCCCATGGGACATGATGAAGGTCAGTAGTTATAAAAGTTTCTTCTGGAAAGAATCTGGAACTAGCTTAGTGGAGTAACACAAAAAACAACTTCAAAAAAAAGATGACACTCTACTTAGGAAAAAATATGTAGGTATTCGATGACTCCTTACCAAAGCGACCATGGGACAACTTTCACTTCGTAGAATTTAACAAAATAATGCAGCATGTGGAAAATACAGAGACTGGCGAGCTGACGTTTGCAGTACAGTCTCTGCTGGAAGTACCAGACCAATACAACACCATCAAACAGCTGGGCCTTCTTAAAAAATCAAAGGCTAACACATAACTGTCTGTACGGTCAACCATATTTGACTTTAGGAAGAAAAAGTTTAGTATTCTAAGTTTTCCAATCTCCTTCAACCAAAAATACTTTTTATCAGGTGCTTTTTACTGCAATTTTCTAGCTAAACCTGTTATGCTAGGGCATATCTTGCTAAAATTTGAATGCTCCTGAAGTCAGTGGAAATTGAAGTCACCGGAGTCGCTGTAAATTCGAATGAATAGTATTTTATTAATGCTTAAACGGGTTGCTTCAAACTGTGGTTTTGCCTTACCTATATGAGAACAAAAAGTAAAATATTTTTTGTAACCGTCTGATGGCTGAGAACTTCGAGGATACGAACTCGAATCTCAGCCACCATTCGAAAGTCAGATTAACTACCACAAAAAAATCTCGTCAAATTCCACTTTTAATTAATTCTTGTGCCGCATATAAATGTTTTGATTTAAATTTTTACGTGAAGTAAATTCATTCTGAAACTTGAGTTTCTTCCAATAAACTGCAAAAAAAATTTTTTTTACTAGTTAACTTGATTAATAGTGATCGTAAAAGTAGAGAATTCCTTCAGAATGGTTATTTTACGCATAATAAAGTAAAAACAAGCACTGAGAAACAAAAAATAGACAAATCTATAAAAGAAAATGAAAAAGTGCTTTTTAAAAATCCACCACTCTGACAGGAACAAATAATGCAAAGAAATCTGCAATCCTCATAAACTGCAATGAAAATCAACCCGAAAAAGAAAAAAAAAATGTCGTTCAGAAAAAATTCAAGAAAAAAGAATATTCTTTAAACCTTCCGACAGTGTTTAGAAAAATCAAAAAACTGTAGTCAAAAAACTAAGTAACTGGAGTGAAAAGCACGACGAAATAAGGCCATCAAAAGAAAGACGTAATCATGTGCTTCACGGTTCACGACTGCACAGCAGCCATTTCAGACAGAGAAACGAATGAAGACTTCTTTCTCACAGACGAAGCGTGACCACATCAAAAAAAACTTAAATTGTTCTAACATGACCCTACTTCCCAGATAAAAGCAATAAAAAAAAGTACTTTACTAGACTGCAAAAGAACCATAAACCCTAAATTTGCAAAACGGGGAGATGAGATCATAGAAGCCACATAGCAAATGTAACAAATGCTTGAAGAGACTAATACCTCATACAAATATAAAAAGAGAAAAATTATGCATTAAATAAGTTATCAAACAAGCTTTATAAAGTCCCTTTCTGAAACCAGTGTAATAAAGGAATAAGAAAAACAAAAAACAGCCCAAACACTCAAATCTGCTTAATAAAGCTACCAGGACAAGATTTGACTTTATCTGGGTAATATGATAAAAGTCCCAAATAACTACCGATCTAAAACCCTAAAATAATGTTAGTTAAGCATTGGGTTGCCAGAGGCGCAAAAAACCTTGAGAAATACAACATAAGACTTTAAACCCGCCGCCCCAAATTCTTAACGATTATTTTCCACTCTTCGACTGATATCTTGCATAACATCATCAACCGCCTCATCCATAGGATTGTGGAATTCTTCGCTGAATTCATCTCGCATATCCCGCAGTCTTAACCTAAACATTTGGAGATATAATTCAAACAGCAAGAATTATAGCGAATAAATGCGACAAAAAAAGAACAAAAGTAAAAATTCCAGTCAATCTGCCTCAGAAAAAAAAAAAACAAAACCATACCACACAACCTTTCTAATTTTTTCACCAACTGTTGAAAAAACTCATTTCATAATCGTAAAAAGTTTACGCGCTAAAGGATAGATATGGAAAACTTTACTTTCCTTATGGAACCAAAGTGCAGGTTTAAAATTTCTCACTCAGCATTTCAACGTGTTAAATTCACAAAGTCTAAAGTCCCCAAGCATAAAACTGAAGTCGCACAATAATTCCCTATCCTACCTCAAAAACTCCGGCTGAATGGACAAATATCAATGAAACTAGAATTATACTTTCATTGCTGGCCAAAAATAAAGGCTTTTCATAAAATTTATCAATTGCACCGCATAAGAAGGCATAAAAATTATAAAAAAAACACAAGGACAACAAAATTCTGAACTCCGATTTCAGCAACAAATTGAAGCAAAATAAGTTTTTCATGACTATAACTGTCTTGTGAATTAGACCAAAAACAGGCTTAGATCTGCTTCAGAAAGTCCTGCTGGCTTAATGCTAAGCAAAAACCAATTTCAAACAGCTGAAATAACACCAGTATCTTTTGAAACAACTAACAGTGTAACGATATCAGCATGCTTGCCCTCTACAGCCAAATCTAAAGCGGTTTCACCATCATGGTTCTTCAAACGTTGGTCAGCACCTCTCTTCATTAACTGGCAAACTATTCTTAAATAATAAAAATAATGAATGCATACATAGCATTTTAACCAAAAAGTGTTACAGTAATGCAAAAACAAAAACCTTAAATTTATCCAAGCCAAGAAATTATTTGTAGAGACAACTCAGATATACCCACCACAGAAATTATGAAAAAAGACATTTATACAAAGTTTTAAATAAAAACTAACAAAGTAAAACCGCTTTTAGCAGCTATATGAAGTGGTGAATTTAAATATGCGTCTAAAGAATTGATCTTTGCTCCATTCAACAGAAGAAATTCAACTGCAACACCGCAACCCTAAAAGTCATGAAAGTCAAATCTTCATGCTTACAAATAAGACTTCTAAAAACATCATAAGTGAATAAAAAACCAGAACCTAAAAATTCGCTAAATTTCTCTCTATAATCTTGAAGTTCTGCATACCGCCTTAACTGCGCTATGTAGTGCTGTTTCTCCGGCATATGTGACATTAACGTCACCGCCCTCAGCCATAAGACGGCACATGAGTGGAATATCACCATTAAACGCAGCAACGTGAAATCGGTTCCCAGTTTTAGCATCACCTAAGTAAAACTCTAATGAAAAAGAAGTCAGTTGTTGAAACTCTTAAAAAAAAGGAAGAAACTCATTTACTAGTCACTAATTCGTGCGACTTCCTCAAGTCCATCTCTGATCCGCAGGCAGAAATTCTCTGTATTTCAGCTGAAAAAACCTCTTCTGAAAAAAAAAAACCATAAAATAACTAAAAGCAAGAAAGAACAGAAAACCAAAAGCAGTCAAGACTAATACTAATTACTATTGGCACGTTTCAAAGCAGGAGTCGACTTCCATCCAGATATGAAATCTAGTGCCAACTCACTATCATATACCGAAGAAGGTCGTGACGGTGAAGGGACTGCTTCAACAACCAAGTTTTGGTAAGATGATGACCGAGGTGGAGCTAGAGACGAAAATACAGCAAGTGAAGAGCTAATTTTTCATTTACTGTCGAAAATAACGTATCTTTGTAAAGCTTACACCGATACGCTGAAAATAATTTATGAACGTTTCCTTCTGCGTGCAGCTGTACAGAATTCCTAGTCCGTTCTGTAACCTTACGCGCAAATCGGCGTTCTATATACTTTGCTTTTATCCAAGCTTCACGGGCTGGCCTAAAGTTTTTTTCGGGGATGATAGTTACATATTAGTTCTACGGAACTTTAAAATCGAATAGTTTTTTAGTAGGTGAAGTTTGTTTACTTATTAAAAGATCTTTACCGTACAAAAACATAGACATATGAAACCTAGCAGAAGTTGGACGAGGGCGTGGAGGTACAACACCCCTATCAGGAAGGTAGGATAGATAGATGGAGTTTACAAGTTGATTGCCTAAAGCCAACATAAGTTTCTTCTGTTCTGGTTCTATGGCATCCATCGTTAACGACCGAATCTTTGAAACTTGAACGCCAAAACTCCTGTGAATGCCACAGCACTGAATACACAGGAGGATCTGCAATACACTACAGTGAGATTCAAAAAAATAAAGTCAGAAACTTGTTAACAGCCGACTTGATTAAAAGTGTGAGTACCTTAAGCTTCAAAAGAAAACTAACTCCAAGATTGATGCTTGCCCATTTCGGACCTTCATCACCGCAATCAGCGCACCGATCGTTGCCTGGAACGCGCCGCAGCTCCACTAAGAGACTGTCTTGTGTTGACAGACTAGGTTTTCCAATATGGTCTACACCAGTCCCTGCAGTAGGCCGATGCGGTGGAATGCCATCATCTGACTCATGTAAATGTAAGATTGTTCTCTGCAAGGCTCGCATCCACGAATTACATAACATTTCAGAATCAGCTTGCAGAAGATGGTTCCTAGATTACAAATTTCTTCATATCTAGCAACATCAAACGAATATACTAGTGAGTTCTAACTTGACAGGAGTCACGAGCTCAAAGCAGCATGCTCTTTCAACCGAAGCAGGTGCAGGTCGAACGAGGCACAGTTTCAAGTCCAGTTCCATTATTTTTGGCGTCTCCACCTCAGAAGATCGATGAGAGTACAACTGAATTACAAACTTAGAGGTATAGAGAGCATAACAGAAGATTCAATCAAATTTTCGACGACAACAGCTACTAACAAGCTTGTTTTCCTTGATTTGAAACCAACGTCTATTCCACGTTCGAAAAGCATGCGTAGCACGCTTGAAAAGATATCCTTCCATAACTACATTATCTTCAGGAGAAATACCAGTTGGATGCATAAAGATCTCCTTAAAGAATATAGCTAAAAGGTGGGAGACAGCACTTATAAACATGACTTACCTTAGGTACCAGAGAATGGCGGTCTTGCATCTTCTTTTCCACCAACTTACATCTCGACGACAAGTTGCTCACTGCGTCGGCAACCGAGCCATTCTCAATTACAGTCCATTCATCAAAAAAGGCATGTCCTCTTGAATAAAATGAGCTACATTCCTTTATAAATGCCCAAAACTGCAAAGTACACGGAGAGTTACATTAAAAGATTCCTGTGGAGAGAAAGGAGTAGATGCGGTCCTCTTCCATCCCAAATGTTAGCACAAGTTATCCCACAAAAAAATTGATGTGAAACTGGAAAAAACAGAGGAGCAAGTGAGAATCAATCATACAGCATCGACAATAAGATGATCTTTATGCGCATGAGCAATGTTGAGCTGCGCCACGTAGTCAAGTGCCGTATGTGCAAAGCATGTCCCTACAGCAGTTAAGGCATTCCGAGCATCTGCCAATTCAGAGGTGCGGGATCGCAAAGTAGCTGCTTTTCTTGCCAGGGCATCATCGAGCGAATTAGAAAGACTCTCAAACTGAGAACGAGTTTCGAATATCTTTGCGAGTTCACTAAAACTCCAGTTATATGCTACAACAATAATTTCAAACTTCATAGATGGTCGTAAAAAAAAAAAGTAAAAAACAGAGGACTTACTTTCGTAGTACCGAGTTTATATTTTTAACAACAACAGCATTAGATTGCTCAATAAAAGTTTTATGTAAATGAACAACATGTGCATAAGCATTTGATACAGATTTCAATGTCGATCGAGCTTTGGAATCTCGCGGAAGAGATTCGGTACACAGCTGATTAACCATGACAGATAAAGTACTGAAAAACACTGTCAAGCTCTAGGGCCTACATGTAACCGGTTAAAAGAATGTTTTTAATGTAAGCAATTTTCTTTTTATAATAATTTATAAATTGTCCTTGACGGTAACGAAACAATCGGAAAAGACACAAAAAGGCTTACTAAAAAGAATTTGCATAATTTTTCCCGTATTCTTCCATTGAGCTCATCAGACGCAGCAACTAAAACAAAGTTATAACAGGAAGCTAAAAAGACTCAATAAACAATGAGTTAAGAACAAATCTAACAAGTTAAAACTAATTCAATGACTCTCTGAACAACACTTCGACACTCTTCTCTTTCTCTCCGACTAAATAGAACTAAATTTTTTTGTTCACCCATTTCTGAATCAAAACTGGAAACTGCATGCGTACACTAGAATTACAGGTCAATGCAGTACACCTTTAAAGTTACCAAAAAAAATAAATAAATAAATAAATAAATACGCAAATGACACTACTTCAAATACAAATAACGGAAGAAAACATGAAGGCAACCTCATTAAGGAAACGTAAAATATAAAAGAAGAAACCTCATTTAGTCTTCCTTCCAATCTATCGAAGTATCGCTGATGAAGGCCGATAGATTGTCTAAAATTGATTTCTTACCACGGGTAAAAATTTTTTAAAGTTTACATTCACACGCGTCTCTATCAACTAAAAATTACCGAAAACGAGGCGAATCCTTCAAGGCTTCCGTGAAGTCAAGTCTTGGTAACGCTTGTACGTCACACATCATGTTCTATTGTGATTTTTTCACGTTCACTTTTACGGCTTCATACAGCTTATCATTTTTATATGAAAAGACTGAAAACAGACACGAGTCTTCTGAATAAGGCAAAAATAAATAAATAAATAAAATTAAAATGTAACAACGAACATCACTGTTGCTATCATTCTCAAAAAGAAACAAAGCAAGCGAATAAAAGCACTTTGAAGGGAAGCACAAACGCGCGAAGATGCATGAGGCTGTTGTCGCGGTTGATGTTGTTGCTCCTGCCGATGCATCATTCATCGCGAATCAATTTGATCAATTTGTACAATGGATAACGGAAGAAAATGGGAGATGGAAGGAAAAAAAGAACCCCTAATGGAAAAAAACCTTCCAACAGTAAATGTATTCAAATTACATTCCTGTCAATATTCCACAAAATGTTGTTGCCTATACGATCGCAAATTAAATCAGAAATGTTTTAACAGCAGCAATAGAGAAATAATACCCTCCAAAATGAAAAACAACAAAAAAAAAAATCACACAACACACCATAAACAAATTGAACGACGACCAAAGGCAACTCGAATCCATTATCACGCGTTGCATCTATCCCCGGGTCGGCCGGACAGTGTTTGTCTATAAGCGCCGCCGCAGCCACCCACTCCTCCCCCTCAGCACCCCAACTTTTAATGAAAAAGCCAAAAAAAGCAAAAGAAAGAGAGAAAAAGCATCATATTTGTGGAGGCGACAAACCGCTGTACGGGATATCCTATATGTCAAATTTTTTCCGTTTCACTTTAACGCACACTAACAAATTCTATGAAGCTGTCAAATGACTTTTTTTTCAGGTCTGTGTACGGCTTTACGTTTTCAAGGAGATTTTCATACGTCCACAGTAACAGAAGCATCATCGACACCACTGATGCAACATTTCTTAAAAGACGAATTTGTAATTCAACTAAAGCTTTCTGTGACGCAGTGGTGACTCATCATCGATAGAGCTTAAATCGGGTTTCAGAAGCTCAACCAAAACGGGAAAATTTTTTTAGAAGTTTCGCAAAACCAGAAGAAAAAAGGAACTTGTCATTGCTAAAAGGCCATCTTCTTTGATGTTATTAAAGACAATGTTAAAAGCAATAAAGCCCGACAACGGTGAAAGCAAGAAAGTCCAGTTCATTTTTATACAGCGAAAAAAAAAGTGACAGACTGAACAAAAGGTAAAATAAAACATTTTTTATCTCCAAACTGGTTCAATGCTTTGTCGTATAAAATAGGAAATTTGAATGAAGCAAAATGAAAAGCATCACAGTTTTATTACTGCCTTGACTGGGATAAGGATAAGCGATATTGAGAAATCAGAACTTTTATATGTAAAAAGAAAAAGGTTTGATAGAAGAAGGATTCTGCACCAGTTCTCTTACAGTTGGCGTGTATGCATAATACAGTAAGTAACGATGGAATCCACTTTTAGTTCTTTTTTTTAGCTCTTTTAGAATTTTTTATTACACCTGTTCCAGACGCAAAACCAAAATGGGGAGAGCTTTTTTAAGAAATTACATAAGAAAACTAGCTGTTTTTTAAAGTTTTACTAGAGGTGTTTTCTGTCTACAATCAACAACTAGAAAATTTACAGACAGTTTCTAACGAGCACCAAAAAAAAAAAAAAAGTCACGGAAGAAATTTGTTTTACAGCAAAGCAACTATAAATTTATCAGATGGGAAAGGAGAGGAAATGCAGAACAGGCTGACGTTGACGAAATGGTTACGAAGAAGACGATGACAGCGAAAGTAAATGGTAAGAAATGAGAAGGAATCGTCACCACAACGGGGACGTGATGAATGAGTGTCGTTGTATCCGTGTGGTGGACGTGCCTAATTCCGTGAGCGATACTGACGCCACAATAACAGGAGCAGTTTTGCCTGCCAAACTCGTTGTTGGCTATACCCACCAGCGACAGTGGTCATTACCGGTCTGCGTGTCTGCGTGTCTGCGTGGCTGTCGGTGGTAGAAAAAGGCGTTATGCTTGCGCGAAAATTGTATCATTAGATTTCACGGTTGTGATCAGATTAGCAAAAGCATGAGGAACAGTTCAGCACTTAGCATATTCTGCTGTCAACTGTCTTCGAGAGATTATGACGCAGCAGCCCTTGTCCAGTTGGTCAGCTTGTTCGGATACGAAAAGTTGTTGTTGTATTTCCGTAAGAACTAAAGTAAAAAAAGCAACCTGTAGGTATGCTCAAACAAAGGTTCCCATCTCCCACTCTCTACTCCACTTCTCCTCTCATCCGCCTGACAACAAAAGAAAAAAAGCTTATTGTTGCGATAGCAGTCGAACAGTGATCGTATGTGGATAAATACATATAAAATTTGTGGTACAGCTAGATGCCTACAAATTGGTTTCTGAGAGTACTCGAAGACGATCCTGCTCTGATCTAAGCATTCAGCACGAGCATTTCAACATCTCAGTATACTCTTCAAATATGAGCAAAATGTAAATTCAAAAATAGTTAAGAAGACAGTAAAGAACCAAACAACTTGAAATTATTGAAAGCAATTTCTCCTAAAGTGTTCATCCTTCAAACTGATGGTCATTTCGCATAAAATTCGGTTGGTTCAGCATTTTCGTAGGAGAGTCCGCAGAATCACCGTCGTTTTCGTGACCGCTTCCTATGCATTTTCTGTTTTCTGTTTAATGAACTGCCTTTGTGGAATGATTGTCGAATCATCAACTGAACTTCAGCAGTCAACTGTTTAAAAATGACCGAATTAAAGCAACTTCTGTTCAGTACATTTTTTTCTTCTCATTCGCTGATGACATTTTTAACGGCTATCATTATTTAGAAATGAAAAGAAGACAACCTAATTACAGGAGAAGAGACCAGACGGAACAATCATTTGTAGAGTTTTCCAAATTTTAAGAGTTCTGAACCGCTTTTTTGAAATTGTTGTACCCGAGTTCGAAAACATTTTCGATTTTATCCTGGAACCTTCATTAGCTCTTTTGTTAACTTAAGCCCAGTCCTTTAACTGGCCCCCATACGTTTGATATTTTAACAGCTGACTGGTTATAGTCTAATTAACTATCAATGAAAAAGTCATTCTAGCAAGACTTTCGCCATTCTTTCAAACAGCCAATTGCATTCTGTCTTTGACAAGTAACGCAGAAACGCTATCAGCTAACACAACTTAGTATCACAGCACTTTTAACTGTATTTTTTCGGAATCCCATAGGTCGGTTTACGCAGCCTAGCATAAACTGCAACAGTTATTCGTATTCCAGAAGTGTGCAAAAAGAAATACTAATTAATTAAAGGCAAGCAGTTCAAAATGATACTTTACTTTGGCCCATTTATGTGCGCGCTTCTTTTCCTAAAAGCAGCTCCTACAGCTAATTCACTTAATCCACTCAGCTTTTCACTTCAGCCGTACCATTAATTGTATTTAAACATCACAGAGATCGATATACACCTTCAA